AATTAAGCACAGGTGGAACAATTTGCTAGCAGATTGAATCAAAACAATAAGTAAAGCAGGTAAAACATGAACCTAAAACAATAAATGAAATTAAAGGAGAGACAAATGCACTTTAAGAACTAAAAAGTAAACAATTTACAAGCAATTTGCAATCCAGGAAAAGACTGACACAAATATAACAGCATTGCATTTGATTCAATAATTCTTATAAAAAATTAACCTAGCCTATCAAAGCTCAAAGATTAGGAAAACAGCTATAAGTTTATTTGATTTGGAAAGAAACAGTTATGAACACCCATATAATGATAAAATCATTATTTTTCAATCTATTCATAGGAAAATTTCACAACTCTTGAAATAGAAGATAAAGCAGAATATTTTGTTTTCTTCTCCATGCACACGAGAGGAAGAAACTTAAACCATAATCAATCCCATCCTCCAGTCCGACTATCCATTCCAACTATCCATTTTAACACAAGAAGCAACATAGAGGTCATAAAATACTAAATTTTGAAAAAAAAATTTGAAAAAATACTCATAAACAGCATTAATTTAATGAACTCCAGAAAAAAGTCAACAGGAGCAGAATTTCCATTTCCTGTGAGCACATATAGTCAACGTTTATATGAGAAGAAACCCATGTTACTCTTGAAAAACTTTGCTCGACGGTTCAGTTAAGGCCATGGATTGAGTAGTTAGCTGTTCAAGCCATGGACTCTATGGGGCTTGAGCCCTTCTGTCATTTAACTAGATAGAAACTATAATATAACTTTTAGGGAATTTTCTTCACAGCAGATAAGTAATCAAGAGAATTACTTTCCTCCAGGTATGCAAAGGCTTTCATCAGTAGCCAATAATTTTTTTTTTTGAGATAAATTGTCAGTAGCCAATATATTTTAGACACAATAAGTTTAACTAAAAAGAAAAGGGTGTTGTTTTCACTAAGTATAAACAGCATAGACATTACATATCTACTTATTTATAGTAGTAGCTGCTTCTACAATTTTGGTCAAATTACCCTTTATGATGCAGAATTTTTTTTTTAAAATAATTTTTTATGATGCAGAATTACTCTATATTAACTAAGTTTAAACGGAAAATAAACAACCAAATCAGAGTGACTAATCCAAAGTTCAACTATCAATCTCTCATCTAAAAGAGAAAAAAGAAAAAGAAATTAGAAGACACTAAAAGCCACATGAACAATGCCTTGAAGAAAATTATTGGATGGATAAAGGTTTGTCTCCCCATTCAAAAACTCTATGTTGAATCTCCAACTCAAATGACCAAGTATAATAGCTCACGAAACCACCAAACAAGAGTTAAATACCGTAACACCCAAGTGAACAATACAAAAACTAAGGTAGTGAAATTCCGATTTATCACATTTCCATCATCAAAGGAATTTCTTTCATCATTAATAAAAAGAAGAGATAACTTGGTTACTTGATCAAGTTTTTGCCCCTCTTCAGGGGCTTGGCCACAAATGCAAATCATGCCGTGCAAAGAAAGCCTATAAAAGCACAATTTTCAAAGTATAGGCTCTACATAAACTTCCAAGTTCTCAGTCAGCTTATCCTTTAGCAAGGTGCATCCGTCTATCATGTACTTGAAGCATAAACTCAAGAGCACCTTCACCAATTTGGATAAAATAAAATCCCTCAGCAAAATATGAACCTAGCAGTGCCCACATATGCACAATTCCAGAAAGCTAGCCACCACTGCTCCCTTATTCTAGCTACATGAAAACCACAAAGTAGGGGAATGCAGAAAGAAATTTCAAAATATCAAACCACAATCCAATACGTTAGTATGAGAACTGTATAACTCACCAATTAATCCGTCATGTATAACATACAATGACAACTTATCTACCATCAAGTCTCAGCTGATATTTAGTATCCTTTTCTAACTAAGAATACATAAACGACCTAAGAGCTAAATGTGATCAATTTCTTCTCAGATTTCATCATTTTTACATGGCACCTCACCTATTAAATAACCGCAAAAATAAGTTCTTAAAATGCAAAGAAATTCAAAAACCCGAACAAACACAAGCAATACTTGTGTAGCTTCTGTCCATAGGTTACCTCAAGATGTTGAGCTGCTTCACTAGTCAACCCAACAGTAGCAGCAGCTAACCCTATCAATCCTCCCTAATTAAAACAGACAAAAAGAAATAATAATCAACCTAGTATGATTGGAAAATGGAGAAGAGGTAAAAACCAAAATTCAGAACAAACCGTCAGTAGCACTAGACTTCATTCGACAAAAACAACATAATTATTCCAATTTATCTACCAACCTTACGGTGATTTGCTTGGGGAGAATAGGTGAATTCCGTAGTCAACAAGTTGATCACCGCAGAGATCTTCTCATGATCCCCCGCAGCCGCCAGCTGCTTCACAATTCCCTCAACCTACAAGGACAAACATAACCATGATCGCAGAGTCAGACATATTGCTTTATATAAGCATCTATAACGCACAGATGACACCAAATTTAGATCAAAATTAAGAATTAAATTTAAAACCCCTCCAAACGAAATTCCAAATATTTAGAGGCAGAAGTAAATAGAAACCTCGAGAGCGGCATTCTTTCGCTTCTCATAAAGCTTGTCGGATAGATTGCGAAGAACAAAGGCGGGAATTACAGACAGAGCGTCTGCCATGTGAACGGAGAGAAGCAGACAAGAAACCTCGTCCTCTCCGATTCTAATTCCCACGCGGTATCAAAGTCGCTTCCTAACCTTTTCCGGCTCCAATCTAAACATAGCTCCAATTAGGGTTTGTACTCCGTCGCCTGAGATCGAGAATTTCGTGGATGATGAAGAAACGAGAGACCGATTTCCTTCTACGATTTTGTGAGGGAAAAATCAGATCTGGTAAAATGGAGAAACGAATTCGGTGTTATGCAGAGAGGAAATAATTTTCCTTGTTCGTTATTTTGACAAATTGTTTTCCCTTTTTTCTTGTTGCTTTGGTTTTAATGTGTTGAATGGTTTTTTTGGGAGACGGTAAGCTCAGATTGTAACTGTAGCGTCGTTCTGGTGAAATGACAGAAAGCCCTCTCGGCTTTTTCACATTTTGGATAATATGAAATTGACGTGTTCTTCTCCCTTTTTATTTATTTGTTTCTTTCTATTTAAAGATAATATTTATTTAAATTTATCTTCTTTATGTGATTAAAGTGGTATTATTTTTTAATCTTTACATAATAAAATATATATTGCCTTTAATTAAAAATAACAAACTATTACACAATCAGATATTTTAACACCCTATATATATTTGTAACTTATTCTCATTTAAATAAATATTATGTGAATATTTTTTGAAAATAATGAAAAATTATATATTAATTACATTACGAATATAAAAAAGTGTTCAACAGATAAAACTTGTTCCTTACTTCTAACAAAAATAAAGAATGGTCTCCTTAATAATAATTATAATAATAATAATTCACCATGTTAAAATTGATTATTTATTTACCACACATGGGTATATAGTGATTTTAGTTATTTCTTAAAATAATTTTTTTTTTAAAAATCTTTTTTGAAATTTGAAATATATATAGTTAAATACAATAGCTAATATTTTATACTAGTAAGTAAAAAAATAATTATTACTGATACAAACAAACTAAATAAGAATAATATTAAAAACTTTAATTTTTTACTATAATTATATTTGAAAAATGAGTGTATCAACTGTTTATTTATTATTTTTCCTTAACTATACAATTATTTTTTTCATATTTGTTTATATATTAAAAATTAATCTACATTTTCTAAACTTAAATACCAAAGATTTCACTTTCTAATTTTATCTAAATTTAGTCTGTCTATTTAAAATAACGGTTAAAATTAATTAATATATTACATTAATTAATTAACGCGATATTACTATTTAAAAAATAATATAATTATGATACATATTTTATACTCATTATCTTATCCAACTCACTTATAATTACCAAATTCAGCTGGCCCTCACTATGAGCTTGTTTACAGTTTCTTAAACCATCAATGTATGACCCTTTAAGAGCTTATATGATTTTTGTTTATGTTATCTTAATGTTGTTGACAAGAAATACAATCTCTCCATGAAGCTACAAAATGTTGATGATATTTGGTGGCTACATATGTTAAGTGATATTTGATAAACATTAAAAATAAAATAGTGACTAATATATATATATATATATGAAGGTGGGACGAGATTATGAAATTAATTAGTAATTAGTAGTAAACTGTTGATAATTCATATATATATATATATATGGAATAGCTCGAGATTAATTTTAAAGTTTAAAAACATATATAAAATAATTTATAAATTTATAAATTTTGTTTAATGTAAAATTAGGAAAAAAAAATAGGTTGATGATGAAATTGAAAATAATTTTTGAAAAATGGGTGAAAATTAGGTTCGGATGGTATTTTTGAAAAAAAAATCACAAACTTGGAGTCAAAACATAATTAAAGAAAATCACGCCATGTAGTACTGCCCAGTCAGCAGCCCTGACGAACCAGAGCGTGCCGCGTAGCAAGACATCCTGACTCAGTACCATGTGGGAGGCCACATTGGCAATCTGTGTACCCGCGATTGGACGACTGGGATGCATTCCCGCGTGCGTGGACGGTCTGAATCCATTCCCTCATCAGGTGCGATCGGACAATCGCGATTAAACGCGATGAACAGTCCAAATTCGTTCCCTCTTTAAACGCGATTATACGGTCGAAATCAAATTGCGATAAACGGTTCAGATTCATTTTCTCTTTAAACATGTTCGAACGGTCGAGATCAAATACGATGAACGGTCTAAATTTAAGGAAGACATGTATAAATATGTCGCATCACACTGAACTCAAACCCTAGCTGCCAGCCTCCCGCTGGAGAAGAAAAACCAATTGCTGGATAAGGGAACTGATCGCTACCCACCGTCACGCTAGAGCCACCTCCGACCGCCAAAAAAGGTAAAAAAAAAAATTCTATCAGCTCGGAATTTGATTTTGAACACTCCCATGTCCAAATCGGAGCAAAATAAATGGCAAATGAGCTGTAAATAGTGGGTAAAGCCCAGTGTCGCTGCCGTGGGTAAAATTCGAAATCGCCTCCGATGAGCCCCTTTCTATTTCCCGTTTCGTGCGATTTTTCCACCACTGTATTCACCATTCTATTTTCTACAAGTTGACAGAAAAAAAATGCTCAGTAACGAATGTGAGCCGGCGCATCGAAAAATCATCCCACAGGTAATTTTTTATTTTTTTGACTTTTTTCGGCCAATCGAGACTCTCTAACATGTTTTCTCGCAGGGATGGGTATAAAATAGACCAAAACTTACCAAAATTTACCGAAAAGGGTCAGGCCGAGGCAAACTACCATCGCGAGCGGCAGTGCTGTCACCAGAGCATGGCAGTGTCGCCGTGCTAGAATTCTGAAATTGGCTAAAAAATATTTTTAACACTTATTTTAGATTTTTTGGGAGTACTTTTAGGTACGTGAATTATATTTTAATCTCCGTAAAAAATTCAAAAAATCTGGGGACCGTCAGCAGGCGCAGTAGAAAGTTCGGTATTTCGAATACCAATTCGAGTAAGAATCCCTCACCTTATTCCCTAATATTGAATTAAAGTTTAATTATCAATAATACGGTATTTTACATAATTTAAAAAACTTCAAGAATTAATTATAGATTACTAATTGAGTCAGAATCAGTTATTTATTATTATTTTTCTTGTTTAACCGATTGTTTGATTTTACAGCTTTAAATACATGATAATATACTGGAATTGGTAAAATGATCAAGTTGTCTTTCCTTGATGCATGTATTGTTTGTCTTTCGTTGATTTACGGTTAAATTGTAAAACTGAAAATTAAAAGTAAACGAAAAATTGATTGGTTAAGTGAATGAATGAATGGTAGTCTTACTAGATATTCTGGGATATGGTGTACGGGCCGAGTACATAGGGAACTCTACTGTGAACGTTGTCTCATACCAGACAGGGTATCGATGATTCGTATTTTTGGCGCTCATACCGGATGTGGTATGAGGACGCCCTGTTTTACCCTCATACTGAACGGGATATTGAGGGATGGTATTCTTGGTGCTCATACTGGATGGGGTATAGGGACAGCCGATTAGTTGACAATATTGAATAATGGTTTACGCGTAATGAGACATCCTTATGGGTCCACAGGGATACCAATAGGTAAATAAAGAGAGAAAGTTATTGTTCTTACTCACTTAAATATAATATTGGAATGTTATTTGGGTTATTGTTTCAATAGGTCGATTTTGAAAATCTCACAAACAGTAAATATATGCAATAACTGGTTTTCTTTATGATAAATAAATTTACTTAAATCAAGAGCTCTATTGGTTGTTTTTATGATCTTTACATTCTTCAGTTTCTGTATCAGTGAGTAGCGTGATATTCTTACTGGGTTAGTATAGCTCACAATTTCATTAACTATTTCAAATTAAGAGGAACAAGACCCAGATCCCGATCAACAATAGGATTGTAAATAGTTCACCACCCTGACTTCATTCAAAAACTAGTGAAGATCATCCTAAAATGCTCAACATATTCTTTTTTATTATTTTCATTGATTTTGTTTGTTCTTTTAGAATGGTAGTTCTCATAGCCCTGTTGAGCATTCTAAATTATTATGTAAGGAATGTAAACCCTAAACTCTATTATTTCGCTTTCGCATTTAATTCATGACCTTATTTCCTTTTAACTTCTGGGTCTTTACAGTTGGTATCAGAGTTGCATTCATCGGAACCATTCCTTGCACAAAAACCTTATAAAACACCAAAAACAATAAATTATCACTCAACCATTCCTTATAAAATGCAGGTACAGATAGATAAGAAGAGGAAGACCCCCACTAAACCGAGTAGCCCAGGAGGGTTCGCTTTGAGAGGATATTGACCGACTATTTGAAATAATAGAGAGACTCATCGCTGTCCAGCAGACCTGAGAGGAAAGGATCGAGCAACTTGACCCTCCCCCACTACCATAATTTGAGCCACCCTTACAGCGGGAGGATCCTAAGCCACCACGGTACGACTCTACTCCTATACAGTACCATTCGACACCACTATAGTATAGTCAAGTGCCCAAATTGCATCACCCGGCATCACCACAGTATAGTCTGGTGCCCAAACTACATCATCCGATACAACTATAATACAATCCAGTGTCTCCACCGTATCATCCAGTACCATCACATGGCCATCTGGTCCTTTCCCAGAACAATCCAATCCCTCTTTGACAGGATCCAGTTCCACCCATGATGGACTTAGACTACATTGAGAGGTACAAAAAACTAAACTCATCTATTTTTACAGGGACATCATCCTTTGAAAAGGCGAAGTACTAGTTAGCTGAGACAGAAAAGGCTTTCACAACTCTTGGAGTGGTTTCTGAACAGAGAGTTATACTCGCCACATACATGCTGGTGAGAGAGGCAAGTCGCTGGTGTTAACTCAAGCAGGCCACCATGCCCGTTTCAGTCATTTAGGAATAATTCCTGATGGCCTTCAATGCAGAGTAACTCCCAGAGCATCTCCTACATCTAAAGAAAATGGAGTTGCACACCTGA